CCCCAAAACCCCAAAACCCCACAATAAAAATATATTAAAAAATAAGTAGATAATTTGAAATTTAAAATGGAACTATTCAGAATGACTATAAGTGAAATAGAAACTATTAAAACAGATACATTAAGTAATCTAATCAAGTTTAACAGTCAACTGAAAATGAACTATTCTTCTGTAAAGGAGAATATCAAGAAATGCAAGCAGATTCAATAAGATCAAACTAGCAAATTTGGACTAGGTATCAATTATTCTATAAGTTTTATGTAAATATTAGAAATCCGTAAGAGTGAAATAAATTTCAAGAGACTAGACGAAAGAATTGATTCACAGGCTGAGAAATTTTTGAAAAAGCTTAAAGATACAGATGTGCAGTTTAGATAGATGAAATATCAGATTAATTAACCCATAAAAGAGAATTAATCTATCAATCTTAACTAAAGTAATCAGGAAATTATCAAGATCCATAAATCAATGCTACAGAAGCTGGAAACAGGCTAAATTCAGCCATAACAATTATTACCCAAAAGACAACCTAAGGCTTAAAGTATTGTTGATATTTCATAAACAAGAGAAGACTAGACTGTTGATATTATCAGGAAAATGAAGAGAGAAAAAGCAAGGAAAATTTGGACGGCTTACCGCAGATATAAATTTAGACTTTAGATAAAGAAGACAATAGCTGTCAAAAAGGTAATTAAACTTTTTATTTTAACAAATTCAGATTTAAAAATGGTACAGGAGGTAAAAGCTTAGTTCCGAAGCGATCATGATTCAAAAGCACATCAGAGGTTTTCTAGCTAGGAAAAGAGTCATTAAACTTAAAGAGGAAGATATTTAATACAAGCAAGCAGTTGATATATTTAGAAGGAATACTTTGTGGAAGGTCTACAGCGCTCTCTATGGAAATATTGAAGAGTAATAGAATAAAAGAAAGAATTCTAGATTCTATCCAATGATGAAGAAATACGGATCAATTTAAAAGATACATCTAGGATTAATGGAAGGCATAGATTTCTGGGAAATTTTTCCTAAAGAAGGTAAATATGCTATGGCTGTTGAATTTCACAAGAAAAGGATGCTTGCTATTATATTTGCGAGATGGCTTTTAACTACTGATGATATTTTATGATTAGTTTTAATTTTAAATCAATAAAAAGTATTTAATCATTGTGAGAAATCTAATCAGTAGATTTAATTATTCCTTATAATATATAAATATATCTTGATCATTGTCTGAATGTAATATTATTGATATCTGATAGATGCAAGAAGCTATTTGGTGATTATAATTGAGAAATATCTTATCCTGATGGCATAACTTCCATATCTAGTAGGTTGTTTATTTTTGCTGATTTGTAAGATATCTTACTATCAAAGTAAATAAATATCTTTCCAAGGTAAAAGCCTTAGTAATTGCACTTGATGTTATTTGATATTTTAATATCAGGTGAGGTATCAGTAAATGCTAAAATATCATTAATAAGTTTCATTTCAATAAAACAAAAGCCATTATACTTAGAATCATAACCATGAATCAAAATTTAGCCGATTGCACTTGCTTTTCCATTTAAATCAAAGTTAGGCATTATATGTAAATCAATAGTCAATTATTATAAATACTTTGAATTCAAAATTTACCCTTATTAATATGACCCAAAGACATCTTAAAATGGACTTACTGTACCTTACTTGAGGTAAATTCTATATGGATCATTTTGCTTAGGTTAGTAATAAGTACCTTTGCTAAAGTATAAACAGCTTGTTTGGTTTTCAAAGTAATAGATAGAACACCAATAGCCTTGAGGAAAGTAAATCTATGATTATGGTCTAATAGATTAATCAATTTAAACTATGATACTTTCTCCAAACATGTACTATTTATTTACTAGATCATATGCCTATTGATCATTAGGGTAGTCATGAAACAAAGGTTTAATAACTGGTTTACCAGTATTAAGTTAGACATAAACTTAAGTCCTAGTATATCTCAATAGCATATATTTAATCTTGTTGAAAAATTAGATATCTTTAATTTTATCTGAGTCTTAAATGAAAGGATAAAGATTTTAAACTGTAATAGTTGAGAATGTGCTTTGAATTAGATAAGAGTAAAAAGTTCTATTGAAATTTTAACTCTATAAATCAACATCTTCTAAGTCAAATGAATAGCTGAATAGTGGCATTCCTAAAATGTTTAGTTACTATAGACTTTAAGTAGTTAATGCTGCATCACTTAAATCAAAATTGTGATAATTTGCAATTTTACCTACAAACCCCAATAATCCTGAGCCTAGTGCAATACTGTCGCTTAATAATGGGGGCTAATTTTATTGAAGATTTAAATTTGAATATTGAATCTGTTCCATGAGACCATTAAGATTGTGGAATTAGTCCTCTCTACCAATATCTCTGAAGGCATAACCGAATGTATTCATGGTCATTTCAATATTACCTGGCTTGGCAATCCAGTAAATATTTCTACCATCATAGTCTTCTTTATAGCACATGCCATCTTTGCAAAAAACATCAGATATCTCATTATTTTTAAGTTAAACACCATACTAATTTTGAAGATTGTATTTTAATGAGAAATCATTAATCATATTTGACAACAGCTAACTTGATTAGTCCAGAGAATAATCAACGTATATAACTTATCCTTACTAATCATAACCATATTGGGGTTTATTATCAGAGTAATCTGGAAATGGTGCTCTGATCGATAGATTTTATTCCAAAATGTAGTTAAAATAACTATCATTTACAGTAGTTGAAAATCCACTCTTAGATATTTAGAAAATTTTCATGTTGTTTTAAGATAAGTAGGCAAGGTCCTACTAAAGATTAGTATATTTAGTTTAGTTAAATGTCATAGATTTATATCCATCCAATGAGTCCATATTAAGAACAAACCCCTCAATAGGTAATTAGGTATCATTAACTAAATTCTGAGTAAAGCTTGTTATGTTATCTTGGTTCTTAAACATGTGAAAGACTCCAAAGAATGACTCTAAAGGAGGCAGGACACTATTCTAGATCTGCTTGCTTTTCTAAAAAAGAGATCCAAGTTTTATGTGTTTGAAGACTTACTACTAGATACTTGAAATATCATCAAAGACTAAGGCAAACTCAGTTTAAGTATTTGACTAAAGGAGAGAAATTCTTGGGAGACCATTTTATTTAAAATATGAAATTTCTGAGCCTTGAGAAGTATAAATAATTACTGCAGTTGTTATTGTTGATTAAGTTAATTGACTGTAAATAATTGGTAGATGTCCATTCTTCCCATATTCATAGACTCGCCCATTTGATTAATAATTATTTGGGATGTTATTATCATTATTGAATAGTGCATAGGTGTATTTATCCTACAAAAAGAATTAGCCATTCCTCTCACCAATACCATAGAACACATTCTAGTCAGAAGAGGGCTATTGATAATTTACTAAGTTAAAATCAATATGGTAGAAACTTAGAGAATCTTTTGTAGAGAATAATATCTTATCTTTCTTAATAGGATGATTGATTTAAATATAAAAAGGATCTTGTCCATAAGTCAATATGTCTTTAAGAGTAAATGATTTTCCAATATTTTTAAAATCTGCAAAACTTCGATCATAGATTTTAGCCAAGGGATCTTTAAGCTGATTTTACTAAGAATTCATCATGATATAGAGGGAATTATCAGAGAGCAATGTTATATTAAAATATTATGCCGGAGACCATCCTTTGTATAAGGCACTTATCTTTTAGATCACCTTAGCTTGGAAAGTATAATCTTAGTCTATCAGAATCTCATCTAACTGGAGTTAAAACATACTTTAATCACATTTAAGACTAGAGTCTCCATACATTATAAAAGCTAGGTTATTAATCTAAATTGTTGACTTGTCATTAGCATCATTAGGATTATTAGGCTAGATTACTACTTATCCTCGTGAAATATTTTATTCAGTGATGTAAAGACTTTAAACAGTTTATAGGTCTCCAAGAATAGCACAAGCAGCTGAGACAGTTTTATCTAGGAAAGTCAAATAGATTTTTTCAATATTTGTTGACTGAACATTCTAACAAGATCCATTATTTTATTACTTGAATGATATAATACTGTCTGAAACCTTTATCTCGTAAAACTCTGTCAAATGAGACTCTTACGACCCTTACTCAATATATACCTAGCCTAAAGCATAGCCAAAATATCCATCTAAGGCAACTGATAGGATTATTGGAATATCTTTAAGATTATTTGCTTGCTGTACTTAGTATTTGGATGTGTTTTAAAAAGCAATGACAGTACTAATGCCAATTTAAAACATCCCAATTTTACCAAAGTTATTACTTATATTGAATCTAAGACTCTATCCAATATAAGTCTTAAGAATATCCATAGTTTCAAGATTTATAAGTTTGCTTCCAGGGTAATAGACTTCAGTTTAATCAGTCTAATTGCTAAGTGGCAAGAATGATATAATATTTTACCCAAATTATAGGAAATTAAGCATGCTTTGATTTTAGATCTTAATATCATCAGAATATACTGTAAATAAGGGCTATATCAAAGATCCTCCATACTTCTATATCTTATAAAGCTCAGTTCTTTAATAATTTAGGTATCTGTATCTTTATGTAATCGATTCTTTTATGCTTTCTTAAAAGGTATTATCAAATGAGGTTATTGAACTCTCAGCATTAATATTCTGAATTATAGTTAAGGGTGATAGTACTGAGTATTAAAACTGTCTAGCACATAACTCTTGGCTTATTCTTGCAGTATCACTCAAATCATTTTAACATAGTAAGGAAGTAGAAATTGGAAGTCCATAAACACTAAAACTTATCATATTGCTTAGTAAAATCTATAAATCATCCATAGTCTAGGGAGCTAGATTAAATATATGAGATATTCCATACTAACCCAAGCCTGGAAATGTGCTATCTGAAATTATGAATGGCTACCTTTGACTTGATTGAAAATCAAAACTCTATTAGAAAACTTTTGCAAAGTATGAACCAAATGTAGAATGCACTTGATGATGATATATCTTATTACCTTCATCATCCTTATGGTACGATCTCATAGGAATCGTATCTTATTCAAGATCAACTCCATCTGGATTAAATTGGAAGCTTTCATCTGCTGAATCCTTTTCGAATTTATTTACTATTTTATCTGCTTTTGGAAGGTTGTTTGAAAGCCAGTATCCCCTTGATGAAAGCTCTTAATTTTAAAGCAATTCTGATAAATACTTCATAGTGCTATTCTAATTAAAAGGATCAAGGCAATATCCCTCTTCTCCATTTAAACTTATTTTTAATATTTCATCCTCGTTAATTTATACACATTAATCTAGAGATTAATCTTTAGCAACTTAGTCTGACTCGCTGATGAAATAGGAAAATGGGAGCAAGAACTACATTTATGGGAAATATCTTGATATGTTTAAAAGTAAATCATTAAACTCTAGATTTTTCATGTAAATCAAAGCATTCTCTTAAAATGAAATAGTCTCTAATGGAAAACCATTACTGGTCAAATTATTTAAAGTATCAATAACAAATTAGCTATCTTTGAATAAAGAGCTTCTCATTATCAAACCTTGCGACCAATAAGGAATTATTTTTGGAGTACCTATGAAATAATGAAAGTTTTAAACTACTCGTTAAAATGTAGACCCAACAAAGAATAATAATTCAATACCACAACCCATACTCATAATGTTCACTACAGAATAATTTTCAGTATAGTTATAAAAAATTTCAAATTGCAGAGGATTAGAATTAAAGACATAGATTCCTATGAATTTATTGTTATTAAGTTGGGCCATTAAGAATGGATGGGCTCCTTTACCTCTGCTATAATCTTGACTCATTGGATATATAGTATGGTTTCCCGATTTTAGGAAAAAGTCAGGATTATTACTTTCGCCTAGCCCAAATAATTTCAAGCCTTAAATTTTTAAACCTTGAACAGAGAACTAGCTCATTAATGCCAATTATTGTGCTTAAGTGCTTATCATCTCGTAATTCGTATCTTTATCAAATATTCTCCAGTATTAACTCTAAATAGAGGAATTAGGAGTTTGCCCTATAAGTTTTTATGTACTGTTAGTTTGAATGTACTGAAAACCAAATTAATTCCAGTTCAAACCCATTTTATACTTTTTCAAATTGTTTCTGTTTAATAAGTCTTAATTAAGCTATGCCTTACTTTGAGAGTAATTTATTGCATCCTAATCTTATGATGTTTATAATTAAATTCTTATTGTATTGTATTAAATAAGCTAAGCATCAACAGAGATATTCTCAATTAATTTATTATAATCAGATTCAATGACTCTTACCATAAAATTTTCGGTACTAGTATTGGCTCTCAGCCTGTAAGATCTAATCCCAAATGAATTTTCATTAATTTGCATCAATTAGTAAGGATTAGAAATCGGATTATAGATAAAGGGTTCTTACTTTTTATCAGATTTTTTAAAAACAATCCCTAAGATAATCGCTGTTACTATAAGGATAAAAATTAAGACTCCAAATATGATCAGCAAGCAATTTCTCCTCTTTTTACTTTAGATCTTAGAAAGTCTATTTTATAGAGCTTTTGAATATATAGAACCTACAACTGATTATGAATTTGTGTTATTAATAATATTATCATTATTTGCAGCTGTTTTAGCCTATTCATTATTTTCTAAGGAATATAACTTATTGTTCTTAGTCAGCAATGGATCCTAAGAATTAAATATAGGAGTATCATTGATTGGCACTGGCTCATCGTCCAAGACAAATAAAGATTTTTTTCTCTTTCCACTAGACATTTTATATTGGCGTTAGTCAAAAAATTTTAAACTATCATCGTGATAAGTCTAACTTATATCTGAATCCAAAATTGAATTCATTTTATTAATAATTAAATTATATTATTATCTTTTTGGTTGACCTAAAATCTTTTAATAACGAAATCTGGGGTTTTGGGGTTTTGGGG